AATCATTACATGTAAATAGCTTCGAAATTACACTTAAAAGTCAAGTACATTTGGTATTCTAACAGATTTCAATTAGAAAATTAAATTGGCTATTAACTTAACATTGATTGTTGATAATTACTAGCTAAGTCTAAAGTTAAACTTGAATCTTTTACTAGTAGAAATGGAGCAGAATTATAGCCTTTTTTGCAGAAATTAAAAAAACATATTTATAATTACAAACTTTATATGGTAACAAGCTTGTTCTGTCCATCCTGTTATTGACTGGGTTCGTATTGCTCAGTCCTTAGTTTAAAGTAGAATCATTTTTTGCTATGATTTTTTATTGTTCTATTGGTATCTTATACCTATTTTTTTTAATGAACTAGTCTCTCATGGCCAGATTTTACTAAAAACATATCCCCTATTGCAAGAAGGTACCAAATCAAGTATTTCAGCCGTTCAAGAGACTTATTATTTGGAAGATTGTTAAACTCACCTATTAAAGCTTAAGCCAACATCCAGGATTTATCCTATAGGAGAGACCTAGAGATGTTCAGACACTTATTCTTACATATTTTGGATTTTGGGGTAGATATTATTACAAAACTGAAGAATGCATATAATTGGATGAAAGTTTTTTGTCATCAAATTCTCTAAATACATGTACCCGAGAGAGAACACTTGGAAAATGGAGGTTTTCAGAGGGACCAACCTAGCAACTAAATCAGTTTCTGGAAAAGTCTTTCAGGCTTCAAAAAAATGATCAAAGGAGTATTGGATATTTGTTCAGACAAACTGTAATGATTCACCTGAACGATACAAAACTCTGTTGGACTAAAAAATTTAAGGAAAAAACCATGAATCTCAACAGAAAAAGTAAGCTGATACTATATATTTAAAGTTTCATCAAAATAATGGTGGCAACTACAACAATATTTCAGTTTGGTACCTGGAATTATGGGATTAGCCATATTTGTTTAACAGACATTCATGACATTTAGACTGTTGAGCGTATTATATTTGTCTGACCCACTGTATATTTATCAGAGAGTCCATATAAAATTAAGGAGATGTGGTATGATTGCCAATGAGACAACTACCCACCAAAGTTAAAATGAAGTGTATGTTTCTTGTTTCAGTTTGTCTTTTAAGAGTATAGGCTGTTGATCTACACAAATGAACTTTTCTTTAACAGTTTGACAAAATAAATTCTCAACACTATAAAGATTTATGGCACTGTAAACGTTTATCATTCCAATTTTGAATATTGTACATAAAAAACCTTATAATTCCTATTTGGATATAGGTCTAAACCGGTTTAACAATTCTAAGGAAACTTCCGAAAGGGGATTATATTTACAGGTCAGATGTTTCAGGGATCATCACAGGCTTTTTAAAGGTGGTGCTCTTCCAACATGGGATTTAAAGTCTTAAGATGCACTCTTGATTTTCTCAGCATCAAGTTAACCTTGAACTTGAGATTATGTAAGATAGGTTTTTGAATTAATTCTTAATCAGTAAAATTTCAAGACTATCATAATTTAAAAGTTTTAATTTATTTGTCATGAAATTAAGATATATGCATTTTTATTTTTTGGACATACAATTTTTCCCAAATATTTCAAAATGAATCAAATTTATAAATTAATTGTCAATGTTCGATGAGATCAACATAATTTGAGTAAGAGTTGGAGTTATTTCCTTTGGTCACCTTGTTGGAGGGCAAACTGGCTGAAGATTTCCTTATTGACTAACCAAATTAAAACATATGGTACAAGCAAATCTATTAAGAGATCCTAAATACTAGATTGTAATGATGGAATATACAATTGCTGAAGTCCATGTTATTTATACTTTTTGGTGGACTTTTGGCGTGGCTCGGTATTTATACATTCCCCCATTGTGTTATTGTGCTAAAAAATAAAGAAGATGTGGTATGATCCCCATTGAGACAAATCTCCACAAGAGACCAAATGACACAGAAATTAACAACTATATGTCACCGTACCGCCTTCAACAATGAGTAAAACCCATACCGCATAGTCAGCTATAAAAGGCCCAGAAATGACAAATGTAAAACAATTCAAATGAGAAAACTAACAGCCTGATATGTCATTTTTGTATTCTTGTCTTTTATTTTTGCTAATGTACTTTGTCTAAAGAGTGTCGATATGCCATTTTGTTTTTCTTTGTTGAAATGGTTATTTGTTTTATAGTAATTAAATTTGTAAAATAATGTTGACTGCTGTACTCCAATTTTTGACATTTTTACATATTATGTCAGTTTGTATACACCTTATCTCTATTTGTCCGCCATTACTGGACATCACAAAGCGATACAGTCTATTGCTCACACATTGTTGAATATAATGGAATTCTATGCGACTGTCATACAAGTGAGAGGTTTAGCTAGCTATAAAACAAGGTTTAATCCACCATTTTCTACATAAGGAAATGTCTGTATCAAGTCAGGAATTTGACAGTTGTTTTCCATTGATCATTTGATGTGTTTGAGCTTTTGATTTTGCCATTTGCTAAAGAACTTTCCGTTTTGAATTTTCCTTGGAGTTTGGTATTTTTGTTGGATAGTTTTCTCACTGGCAATCTGAATCATACCACATCTCCTTATTTCCTATTTTTATAAGGCTTTTAAAAGCAAATCAAAATTATTCAGGAAAAGTTTTAAACTAGATTCTAACAGCTAGTTTAAAAAGTAAAATTCGGTCGGTTTATGCACATGGACTTGAAACATAAAAGAAAAGGGAAATAACTCTGAACTCAGATTACGTCAATCGATAAATTATCTGTAAACATGCCCTTGTGAACACAAGGCTAAACCAAAGAAAGAGTGTTTAGGCTTTTTTTCTAGGGTAGGCAGGGGGAACTTATAAAGTGAGAAACGGAATCGAAACGAAACGAAACAAAACGAAACGGAAAATGAAGAAATGAAATACAACGAAATCAAAGCGAAATAAGATATTTTTAGCCCAAACGCACTTAAGAATCTGACTCTTTAGGATAAAAACAGCAAGATATAAAGGGTCCCAAAATGACCATTGTAAAACAATTTAAACAGGAAAACCAACGGTCTAATCTATATACAAAACGAAAAACACCTATGAAACACACCAACAAACGACAACCACTAAACAACAGGTTCCTGACTTAGAAGTATAAAATATGCAGCGGGTTTAAACGATATATCAAAAAGACACGATTTAAATAAAAACAACACTACACGAATAAGTATGATCCGCAACACAATATTATATATACAAAACGAGAAACGAAAAACACAAAAGAACTACAACAACCACCTTGAACAACATGATCCTGACTTAGGAAAGGTGCATATAAAATGTACTATATTTAGTATCTTGTAAAGTCCACATATATGTCTGACGGTTTTCGCTTGACCTCGACCTAATTTCATGGATCACTGAACAAAGTTAAGTTTTCATGGTCAAATCCATATCTCCAATATTATAAGCAGTAGGTATTTGGTGTATGTAATGATTGTAAGGTGAACATGTCCAACTGGCAGGTATCATCTGACTTAGACATCATATCAATAGTTCGAATTCATTAAGGAAGAGGTGCACTATATTAAAAATTTGGTTTATATGATGCTAGTAAGATGTATAATTGCTGTTTGGAAGATGTCATCTGACCTTGACCTTATTTTCATGGTTCATCGGTCAAGTTCAATTTTCGTCATGTAGTTTGTTTCTGAAATACTTTAAGCAATTGGTTTACTATATTTCAGTGAAAGGAATGATTTTGTACAGCTTCCATGTCTGAAAGATTTATCTCACCTTCACGTCATGTTCATTTATCACTGCAATATTAATTTAATTTAAAGCTTGTAGTATAAACTTTTATTTTGACTTTCAACATAAATTCAATGATGAAACACTTAAACAGGATACACATTTCAGGGTGTCCACTTTTGTTTAAAAACATCAACAAGAATTTAGATAATACAGATCAAACAGACTTGAGTGTCTTAAAATATACTGTTGTGTGGTTGTAATAATGATAACTATCAAGAGCATAACCCTAAAGGGTCAGATTCTTAAATGCTATTGGGCTAAAAATATATTAATTCGCTTTGATTTCATTGTATTTCGTTTCGCTTCCTTATATTTTGTTGTGTTTTGTTATATCATTTCGTTTCGATTCTGTTTCTCACTTTTTAAGTACCCAGTAGGCAGGTACTAAATGTTAGTATTCTATGTTGCTTAGTTCTTTTTTTCACATTGAGATAAACAGCTGATAAAGGAGGTGACTATGCAGGCACTTCAGAAAGAGGGGGAGAACAGCACCTTCCTGATTGCAAGAAACAAGGGCTTATGGGAGTTCTGCAATATTGTTGCCAAATGCTTCCGAAAATTCTATTCTATGAGGGGGGATAGGACATTTATCAGGACTCCGGGATCAGCTGTTTTTAAGCTCGGGATTTCGGGATTGACCCATTCGGGATCCGGGAATTCTTGTTTCGAATTTCGGGATGTCGGGATTTATATTTATGTAAATTCGGGACCTCAGGATTTCGTGTTTTTAAGCCCTGGATTTCAGGATCAGGACCCCTCCGACCCCCCCTTCTATAGAACAGGTAGAGAAATCCTAAATACAAAAATGTTAGTTTAAGTTCAAACAATTAATGTTTATTCGTGGAGTAACAATGACTTGAATTTTTCAAATGCCAGATTAAATCAATATTCAGGCTTCATTTTTTTTTTAACATTGCCTTTCCAAGTAGGAACTTCACTAACAAGTAGTCAAGGAAATAATTTAGGAATGTCAATCTGATTTTGACACTGTCACTGTCTATAAAAGATCTTTTACCACAGTCTCTTCACGAATATGGCTGCGTCCTGTTTGATTGGTAGCTTTAACTTCCATTTGTTTATGTTTGACAATAAACTTATACATTAAACGTTTAAATGTTACCGCCATATACCTGATTGCTTACAAACAACAAACAAAGCAAACAAAGAGACTACTGACCTCGATAGAACACCATGCTACTTCCGCTACAGCTGCGCAAGTGCGATAAAGAGCAAGAAAATAAACACGAAAATAACAGGAGCCTAAAAAGTTTATTTTATTTGAATTGTAGTGGTAAACACATATACATAGTAATGGTAAGTAATTAAATGGATATTCTTTGTTACACATTCGAACTGTGATGAATTTCTTATATATGGATTTTATGAAAAATTGACGACAAAAGCGGGGCAGGTAAGTTCATTGACAAAAAATTCGGTAAAAGGCATCCGGTAATTTAAAGTGGATTACGATATTTATTACTGTTCAAAAGGAATGTGACTGTGAATGAATAATTAAGTTATAAAATGTGGATGTTCACATAACGTGTAGGAGTTTATCTTTCAATATCAGTTAAGTATACAATAAATTTTACATGATTTTTTATTGTTGCCAAAGATTATGAAGGGTTGAAAAGAAAGTGATTTTTTTTTGGAAAGTCGTGAACTTTTCAATTAAGTCAGAAAATAAAATTTATATAAAATATTCCAGAGTTATATATTTTGTTTTTGATAGGAGACCATGTTACAAACTACAGTTTTTTTTTCAATTGATTTCCAAAAAGTTGTAAAATGTTAAAAATAAAACACAAAGTTTTTGTAGCATTATTTTTGCTTTTAGCAAAATCTTTCCAATTCTAGAATACATTAGTAATAACATTATAAATCATAACTATAATGAATTTTTTTTTCCTAATCTTACAATTTTATACAGTAGTGCCATTTATCAGGTTTATATTATATGCCATTCCAAAATCAGAAATCTCAATCAGTTTATAACTGATTCTTTACAGTTTTTGCCAGTTATTTTATATCAGATAGTTTCCATGCACTTGATGATTTTCTGCTAAAAATATGTACATCAAAAAGCAATGATGAAAATAATATAATTAACACACATTTGTCATTAGTAATAATGATTACATGTACATGTAGTTTGTACTTTATGATAAGATCTGATAATCCAATTCAATTCCAGATTTCGTAGGTGTCTTAGCTTTTATATAAGTATCATTAGAATTTTCTAAAAAGCCATATCCAAATCATGTAGTGGATAAATGATTAAGTAATAGGACTTTAATGTTAAATGTTAACTGAGGGAAAAAACCCAAACTATTTGATATTAAATCAAAAGTTAATCTGGTAAGCTGATTCAAATATTTTCTCAATATCAATATACATTTTTTTTTATTTGAAATCAAAATTGCAACTCATGACATTTCTAACCTACATGTGCATGCATGTATTAAGTTTTAACTTTATTTTTGCTAAACCATTTTGTTATCCATAGTCATCTTTTCTACATTATAAGTGTGTTTTTGTATATTGACAAACTGTGCAATCAAATCCACATGTTTATTCCCAAGATAAGATATATATATATATAGATCTTTAATTCCAGTAATTAGATATTGTTATTGTATAATTACAGTTAACAAATAAAATTACATAATTGCAAGCCTTTGGAATGGGGTTAATTTACACTCAAGTTTCTTGTATCCCCAGAACAGCATCTGATAACATCGCATCCAAGCAGCATGTAAAATTATCTTCATGAGAAATATAGGTAACATGTAAACATGCACAGATTAAACTGCATGACTACATGTAATAAGAAATTACAAACATATAAAATGTAAGATAATTTCCTGTTAGACATGTACATGTATGCAAAGATGACAAAACAAGTGTGGAAATTCGTTACGGTGGTTTTTTAATCAATTTAAAATTCTACTTCAAAATCTGACATGTCAGACAAATGCATCCTTTTGTCTATGTTGCTAACATAAAATTCTTTTAACAAAAAAAAATGTTCTTTTCCAACAAAATGTTTAATGTAAAATACATGTACTATTAATTTCCTTGTAATGAAAGTTGTGGTTTCATACATAGATAATATATACAATCTACTCTGTTTACTAACAATATTTTATTGTGACTATGTTTTCATACAAATATTATCTCAATATTTGGTAGGCATTTTCAATTAAATTCTTATTATTTTTTTCAAATTGTTTTAAGCCTTGAGGCCTGTCATGCCTGTACATATGTGATACTTAGAATTCAGTTGTATTTTATAAAAAAAATTGTTAAGGTATAATTGAAGGAGCCTTTGAAGAAGTGGCAATCTCATAGGTACAAACTTGAGCACTTGGACGTTGCATTTTTAAAACTCCATTTCTTGTTTAATGATATTGACTGAGTCAATGGTCCACTTTGCTTTGGAAATGCACAACTACTGAGCTATGTAGTGAGGTCTGGTTTATATTAGTTTGTTTTATGTAGGTAGGAAGAAAGCTTTGTTAATGGTTATAAACTTAGTTGAATTGCATGTCTTATTTTTACTACATATATAACTAAAAGAAATATTTTTGGAATTTTTTTATGGGCAACATCACACATATATGTACAGAGATAAATAAAATATCAAAAGCAGTAAATTTTGTGTACCTCAAACAAGTTTGTCAGTTTTGATGATGGTCATTATTTATAATGAGTAGGTAGGTGTCCACACCTGATTGTTTTACCTGTGATTTACAGGTATTATTACAGGTTGCATCATATATTACCTGAGATTTATACACCTGATTTAACAAATATGGGGTAATCAATTTCGAAAGTGAAATTTCAAGGATTTATTTTTAGCTGGATTATGACAGGTTTAAATCTTAAAGGAATTTTCATTTCTTGTAATGTGTATATATATTGCAGAATGTGTTGTTATTTACAAATGTATGCAATTGGTGATACTCACACATAATCATGTAAATGTATCTATACATTGCTTTATAGTAGACTAATTGAATATATAAGCAGAAAAAAATCTGTTTTGACATTTATACTGTATCAGATAATGTTTGTCAGGGTAATTGAATTAGTGGATGAAAGCTAAGGGAATCAGTAAATTTCCTTGAGGAATAACTGAACATCAGACAAAAAACACAAACTTTCACAATGTATTACAACATGCTAATTTGATGCCACGGTGAATATTCATGAAATATTTGCCACTTATGATATTAATTAAGCAGACAACGTGCAATTGAAATCTTAAAATGAAAGTAGTAAGCTTTAAAACATCACCAGTGAGTTAAAATGTAAGTAGTAAGCTTAAAAATAGCACCAGTGAGTTAAAATTAAAGTAGTAAGAACAACCACCAGTTATTAACACCTGAAAATGAAAATAGAAAGAATAACATCAGTCATTACCGCCAGAATGATTCTACGGAAAACATATTTTGCACCAAGTTTATATTTGGGTGGGGTGGGGGTGGTGGTGTGTACTAGGTCAACAGAGTTCACAAAGGTGTTTGATGGGTTACTGGACATTAGATCCAGAGGGCAATTATTATTTACCGAAAAGCCCAAACAGAATTTTACTGAGAAATAAATTCCCCAAACTTCATTGGACATTCAGTCTAGTAATAATCTCATATTACTTGTAAGACAAAAATTTACTGGTTTTGATCAAATGTCTAGCATTATTCATAAACTTGACAAGTATGTAGAAATGATTCCTGCTACCTACAATAACAATGAGTACTTTTCAACATATATGTCTTAGCTTTTTTTTACAATAAAAAATGAACAGAAAAAAATGCACAGCTCTGAGGGATTACAGAATAAGTAGATTTGTACACCTTTAGCTTTCATCTGTTTTAGACATACATGTATTTACCCCAATGCCTAAAATGGATTTTATAGACATTGGCTATCAGTCTATTATTAGAAATTTTGCACAATGCACCTTGCAAAATTGTAGATTTAATTGTCATGGCAACAACATATCCTTATATAGATATTTTTCAGTTTACACATACATTTGTAAATGCAGGTGGCATATAAAAACCAATATCTCTATTCTCTTGCTCATGTATAACACATTTCAATACTTGTGAAAAGATACATGTAAGTCTGACTCTAACTTTAATATTGTTGACTGCCATGGCTGGCATATATTAGGGTGGGTTTACCGTTTACTCAGAACAAATTAGGAGAATATTTCAAATGTTGTAAATAGATCTTTCAATCTTTCTGTAGAAAGAACTTTTGATTTTGTTCCGATAACTTTTTTTCTCTTGGGCTGTCTTGTTGTGTCATTAGTGCTAAGATATTTGGTAAATCTCCTGTAAGAACTATTTAAGAAAATAAAATTTTGATGCCAGTCATACATGTACATGTAATTCTGGGCTGTCTTGTTGTGTCATTAGTGCTAAGATATTTGGTAAATCTCCTGTAAGAACTATTTAAGAAAATAAAATTTTGATGCCAGTCATACATGTACATGTAATTCTGGGCTGTCTTGTTGTGTCATTAGTGCTAAGATATTTGGTAAATCTCCTGTAAGAACTATTTAAGAAAATAAAATTTTGATGCCAGTCATACATGTACATGTAATTCACATGTCAGATTGTCTGACAAATGGTATTGTATAGAGTATGAGTTTTAATAGTGCACATACATGTATGTTCATTTGTAAATAAAGTATTTGTATGGACAGTACACAAAACATGTCTTGTGGTATAAAGCATTGAATATACATGTATTGTTAAATATTATTAACATTATTGTTGCCTAATTTATCTTTTATATATTGATATATAAGCTTTTAATATATCTTTTTTTTAATTTTAGACTTGAAAAAGGGAAGATGAAAATGAAGATTTTACTGGTGACATTACAACTTGTAGTTTTTGTTGCTGCAGAATTGACTTTCATTAAAAATACATATCCAAATCCTAACTCGAAAGAAGCTTTCCGACACATGATCAAAGATAAAGCTACAGGCTATATTTATGTTGCTGGAGTCAATAAAATTATACAATTAAATGAAAATTTTACAGTGTTACAGTCCATCGGAACTGGACCAAGACTAGATGATCCAGAATGTCTTCCACACGAATTAAACTTGTGTAAAGCCAAAAAGATGACCGATAATTACAGCAAAGCTCTCATGATTGACGACAGAGGAAAACGGCTTATCGCTTGTTCTAGTCTCTTCCAAGGTTCATGTAAAAAGTACCATTTGTCAGACATTACTAAATTTGATAATGACTCTTCCAGAAATAAGTACATAGTTGCAAATAATGCGACAGCAACTACTGTTGCTTTCATAGCACCTGGTCCAACAGAGGATGGTCAGATTGTACAACCAAACGTTATGTATGTTGGAACAACGTATACAACTTCTGGCTCAAAACTTGTAAGAGACGATATTCCAGCATTTTGTAGTAGGAATGTTAACACGTTTGATTTAGCCCATAAAGGTCCTTTTGTCAGCACTTCAAAATTCATTGATGGATATCATCGCTCTACCTTTTTTGTGAATTACATTTACGGTTTTTCATCAGATTCTTTCAGTTATATGGCTACGGTACAGAGAGCCAGTACTGCGGCAGAAAAATACATCACAAAGTTAATTCGTGTCTGTCAAAATGATAAAAGTTTTTATTCTTATACAGAGGTTGAACTGGTCTGTGAACATAATGGAGCTAAATATAATTTACTGCAGGCCGCTCGCAAAGCTAAACCGGGGAAATTGTTGGCGGAAGCTCTGGGCATAAATATGTCAAAGGATGTTCTCTTCGCTACATTTTCTATAGGCAAAGCAGGTTCAACAGATGCATTGAATGATACGGCTGTCTGCATATACCAATTAGAAACAATCAAGACGATATTTACAAAAAATGTTCGAAATTGTTTTGATGGAGTTGGAAATACCGGACCAGATCACATCGTAGGGAGAGAACCGTGCCAGAAAGCAAAAGTAAGCAATAAATATATCACATTACATTTTCAGAACCTGATTCAGTGTTCTCCCCAATATTTTCATATATAGCACCATGGGATTTTGAAATAACACCATTCCCCCAAAATTAAAGCACCGCACTCATGATAATTTTACCATGGTGCTATAACACCCTCAGAAGAAAACTGTGATCAACGTGTAGGATATATACAATGTAACTATATATACATGTACTTTGCAAAATACAGATGTCTCCTACATACTAAGGCAACAATAGTAACAATATTTGAAAGGCAGACTTCTTGAAAGTGGATTTTCTTAATTGAACCTTCTTTTAAAAAAAACATGAAATTGGCCAAAAAATTTTAGTCCCAAAAGTTATACCAGTAGGTCACTTTTACTTTTCTTTTCAAAATTTTGTGTTATCAACTACCTTTCAACTGTCTTAAAAAACTGGTATAGTCACAGTTCAGAAAAGACTTTTATTTCCTTTTGAACAAAGAAAAATTAGTACTTTGCCTTTTTTAGTCAGTTGAAGGTTCTTAAAAAGTGTCTAGGTAAATAACATATAAGTAAGATGTAAACAAGACCATCAGGATATATGCCATACTCTTAATTCTGAATGCTGTTAGGTTCATTGATATTTGTGGCTATGCCATGTATGCTGCTAAATGCAGTGTATTTTATTGTAACTTATGAATACAAATAATAGCATTTTCACTTCTGTAAGTATATATGTTATAAACAAGTTAAATTGGAATACATGTACATGAAGCTGAAAACTGATCTATCCACTAGACTAAAAAGTTAAATGAGAAATCCGTTCTAGAAAGAGTTTCGGATAAACAAAAAATCTTAAGAATGAATCCACAGAACTGGAAATTTTAAAGTCCAGTTCATCATCATCAAACGTTATTGTTAAATTTATAGTCCATTAAAGCATAAACATGGATGTGATATTGAAATATATATAAAGTAGGCACTGCATGTTTTGACTTTTTATTGAACTTATCCATAATTTTCTAATCTGCATTACAGGGTTTTATAGACAGGATAGATTTGAATTATTGCAGAGAACTGGATATCAATCACCCCATTGATGGGTTAGACCCAATATCAGCGAGAGCAGCGCTAACACTGAAAACAAAGGTGTCAGCAATAACAGTTGCTGTTACACACGATTACACAATAGCCTTTATTGGAACACAAAATGGACATATTATAAAGGTAAGAAAAATGTAAACATAGGAAATTGATGTTGACGTCAGATCTTCAGTCACCTCTTAGTTTAGCTGATGTTGTGAGTTCTAACCTTGTTTATGGCAAGGTGTGGTCAATTCTGAACTTAATTGATAAGGACTGCAACTTTCCTGCAGATGGTTTGTGGTTCTCTTCATGTACTATGGCTTTGTACACCAATAAAAACTTGCTGCCATTGAAAGTTTCTCACTGAAAGTTGTGTTAAACACCAACAAACAAACAACCGTGTATTAAGCATTTACAAGTTCGTTTAGAATTGTCATTCACTGTAGTTAAGAAGCATATCCTTTGTTTTTGTCTCGCCTTGAAGGAGTCAAAATGCCAGACATAGGTACGCTGTTTCCGGCGACGGTGTTGGCAGCGTCAGCAATGTATTAGTTTGTGATTAGGTCTAGTTCATGGTGAACCACTAGTGGTAGGTCAATGATATTTGGTATGCAGTTGTATTAGCGTTGGCACATCTTATTACCATGGAGATTATTTGGCCCCGCCCCTCAGTCAAGGTCTATTGACTTTGAAACTGCTTAGTTTTCATGTATTAGTTTGTGATTAGGTCAGTTTAAGATGAACCACTAATGGTAAGTGAATGATATTTGGTATGCAAATGTATTGGCATTTGCAAGTTTCATTTCCATGGAGATTATATAACCCCACCCCCTTATTATGGTTCACTGACTTTTACATAGTTTACAAGTTAATGTTTGTGTTTAGGTTTGTTTAAAGGGAACGACTTATAAAAAGTCAATGGTATTTGGTTTGCAGTTGTATTAGCATTGGCACATCTCATTTCCATGGAGATTGTTTAGCCCTGTACCTTCAGTCATGGTTCATTGACTTTGAATATTTGCATAACTTACATGTTAAAGTATTGCTATTTTAATTTTAACATTTGCATTATCAAAATAACAAATAGGCGAGACATATCACTGTGTAACAGTTTATTTTATTTTCAGGTGACCACTACTACTTGTTTGTTGTCAGAGGTCTAACTTTGATTTTTTGTGTTGTCAGGTTGCTGTTTCATTGATACCCATTATCTCCTTATATTAGATTTCATCTACTTTAGTTTCGTTATGAATATGCATGAAACCTTTTGCACTGGATGTTAAGCAAACAACAATCGATCAGTCAATCTACCAAAGTTTATTTGTTGTATCCCATATATATTTCCTAATGTTAAAATGATGCATGCTGTGTTTATGGGTTAAAATGGTCAAATAAAGTATGTAAAGCAGTGAATCTAAGTTTAGTTAAACCATTTTGAACCTCTGAGTATGATGCCTATGATCTTATAGTAGCACATACTTTTTTATAAATTCAGACTTGATAAGTTAACTAGTCTTTTAAATTATGCACCAAAAGTTTACCTTTAATACTTAAGGTTCAAAAGTACATTTGCAATTCATTGCTGCTGGACCTTCAAGGAATGACTGGTAAGGTAAACCTTCTGAAAATAAAATTGAGAATGGAAATGGGGAATATGTCCAAGAGACAACAACCCGACCAAAGAGCAGACAACAGCCGAAGGCCACCAATGGGTCTTCAACGCAGTGAGAAAATCCTGCACCCGGAGGTGGTCATCAGCTGGCCCCTAAATAAAATTGTGTACTAGTTCAGTGAAAATGGACGTCACACTAAACTCCAAAACATATAAATGAACTAAAATTAAAAAACATACAAAGTACAAGACTAACAAAGGCCAGACGCTCCTGACTTGGGACAGGCGCAAAAATGAAAAGTACATGTATGTTTTGCAGTCTTCCTCTCAAAGAAAAGATTCCTTGTACTTAAAGATGATGTAAATGTGATAAGAATAGATCTAGATCAGATCTAGGAAGCCTTGACACAATTAAGAATTCATACAAACAACGCTTGATTATCTATACATGTATTTCTGTTCACCAATAGAAATTTACTCAACCATGGAATATTCATATGTATAATTTCAGTAATAAAATGATATCATCCGTTTTACCAGTTTTGTTATCAACATAGACATTCCGGGATCATTAGGGACAGTTACATACAAAATTTTTCATGCAAAACTGTTTAATTAAGTTTAGTGAACAGATTTCTATTTTTTGAATAATTTATGGGACATTCAGTTTGAATTTATTTGAAAAAATGAAGCAATGAATAATTATATGTAAGTGATTATGATTCAAAGGAAAATATGAAGATTAAATTTTTTTATTACTATTTGTAAATGTGTTAAGTTCAAAACAACTGCTAAAGCTGAAATGGAAGAGATTACTATTAGTTTTTCTCCTAATTTCTGATATTTTAAACCCTAGACCCCTGCTTTAATGAGACCTTCCCCTATTTTTTCAGAACTGTAAAAAATCTCATAAAATTTATATAGCAAAACAGACTTAAACCTTTTTTTTATACTGTTCGTTTTTAACTTCCTTCAGAACCATGTGCACATTGTGAAAACTAAATCTAGTGCATCAACATAAATTGTACTTTAGTAATTTAAAGCCATTTTTACAGCATACTAAAAATATTGTATAGTTAAATCATTGATATAAAGTGACACAGTCTGTATTGTGGGCCAAAGGAACAAAAGCCCAAATATTATAGCCTTACAAACCAGTGACACGCTGAGAGGATTTTTTATAAAGCTATTCATATAGTTCAGACATTGACCTGAAGTGCTTCGATGAACTTTGAAGTGTATACAAACATGACCTACCTGTGTGTTTACCTGCTAACACACCTTATTTCACCATTCAAAATTTACCTAAAAAATCTCTTAATATTGATGTACTATCAATGATTTAAAGTAATTTTTGGCCCTCCAAACATTGGTTTTAAGCTTGAATGTATAACCGAAGAAATTCTGGTAGAAAGTTGGGAACACTTAGATTTTTTACTACACCACATCACAGCTTTATCATTTCAAAACTGTGAAGTAGTATCAAAGTACGTCTTGCCACCATTAAAACGACCTTTAACCTGTCATCTTTAGATTGATTTACATGCTGCAGCAATTAAAAATATTGCAGTCAACTCAAAATGACCGAAATGAAAGTTGAGTGTTTGGAATGTATCATCAGAAAGTTGGCTCAGTTTGTTTGTCATGATAAAAGTAATAACTTTAGCATATGAATACACAGTTTCTGATATTCAACATCATATTTTCATAGCAGAATAAGACCTCAGCCCTCTCAAAGATAAATTACATGTCTCTGAGGGGGGTTATTTGGGGTCATGACGCTCTGACTTTATTATTAGTCAAACTTCAATGTAAATCTAGTCTTTAATAGTATTTTTGTATGAACCACCCCCTGGCTAGAGGTATGATGTGTGCATTGACCTTCTTCAGAAAGATTTCTACAGTGTATACACCCCACTGTGAACTCAGGCAAAAACACAATATTATTGTGATAAATATTGCATTTTACCAAACATTACATACTTATGTTTCTATCTAGAGCTCTTGTTGATGTAAATGTATTCATATCAAAGATTGGAATTCCAGTAATTTGCTTTAAACCTGTTGCTAGTGTTTGTACAAAATCTGAAAAAAATCCCACAAGATTGCATACATTTCATAAATACAGTGTTTATAATTAAAAAGTAACTGAATGGGTCAATAACTACCCTCAGATGTTTTTTAGATGGAACATTAATAGCAGGTTTGATATGATTTTTATCTCTTATCTATGTAGTGTATCTAAGTATTTGTTTAAGTTAGGGCCTTGTAATTACACTAAAGCATCTTAGAATTGACATGTGGGCCTCAGGGGACAGTCAACCAATCAAATAGATTGATAGAGGATTAATACAAGGCCATTTATATACAATGTTTTATAATGAGAAACAGCTTGTAGTAGATTTTTTTAGACCAATTTTATTGTTTGTTTCTGAAACAACTGCTGCAAGCAATTTAAGTCTGGTGCATTTATTATATTTAGAAAAAGTTGGTTATTGCTTGAATAGAGATAATTTAAAGTACAAAAAGGGGAGGATTGAGTTCTAATTTAGTTTAACCCAACTTCATGTTTTTTTATTTGCTGATAACAAATCAGAAACCTCATCAGTGCTTATATCTTTGTATTTGTTTCTGTCCTTTAGGGAATTTGGCATTGATGGCAGATTTTGGAAAGTCTCTCTTGAATTTGTCTAGACTTTTGCTGATTTTGAACAGGACATATACTGTACAGTAACAGACTGTATAAAGACATCTACAATCTGTCTCATTGATTTACCCTTCATTTCTTTTTATTCTTAACTAAATAAGAATTAGATATCATATAAATATGAGTTGAGTTATAGGGAAGAGCATCTAATTGATGAACAGAGAGATCTGCTTTGTTAAAAAATATGAGACAGTTTCGAAAAATGTCTGATGGTGAGTGAGACCAAATATTAACATTTTGACAATCAATCTCAGAAAATTACAAAAATGACAGTAGATTATAAACTGTTACTTTTTGTGCTGTGACTTTGTCCTAAATTCTGTACTGACTAGATTTTGGACCAAATGGTTGACAAATAAGTATGATAGGAAAATTCCCAGCAAAATGTATCTTTGCACGTGTTTAGTGCAGTTTTTCATAATTCCATATTTACAATGCATAGCAATCTTATTTCTACTCAAATCTGAAAAAATAATTTGAAAATAGGGATAGTATGAAAGTGGTATGATTGCCAATGTGAAAACCATCTGCCAAAAAATAAGGACATGCATTTAAACAACTACATGTACATGTAGCATACACATATACTACTTACAACAGTGATCAACTTCTTATATTAGGCCCTGAGATAACAAAATGTGAAACAATTCAAATGAGAAAACTAGAACTTAAAAAAAATAGTATTGTAGCTATTCTTGATAAAAAGACATCTGTTGGGACTTATAAAACTAACATTTATTTTATTTTTAAACAATATGTTAATTGTCAGAAAATGTAAAATTAATTATTTTTTTCAGAGAAATCATTTATGATACATGTTAACATTACTTTACAAATTACAATGTATTGTGTCAAACTTCTGGTCAAAATAGAATATTTATGTACATATTTATTAGCTAAAGAACTTGTATCTTTCACTGTGTTTATTATGTAACCAATGAAATTTGTTCAAAATTTATCAGACAATTCTCCCCAAATTTCTGTGGTTAAATACATGAAATAGACATTTTGTACATAAAATGTCTTTGTCAATAGTTTACTAATATGTTGACTAACATAATTTTTTTACAATGGCGAAGCCCACACATGAGTTGCTAAGTTAACGCCATAAACATGAAAGGTAAAATACAGGAAACATAACTATCTTACTTTGCACTTTGTTTTCAGCGATGTAAAAATGAAGCTACATGTGAATTTGTGTTTTGCAATCATATAGGGAAAAGGATTAGCAGGGGACCAGTACCCCAGGCTTATAAATTATGAGCTATGCCCCTAACGTGGCAAGTTGGAAAATGTTACTGTTCACTAGCCTGTCAACACTTGAGATTGTGAGTTGCTTATGGCATGGTGTGCTCAACCTCAACATTTATTGACTACGATTGCCAGTTTTCCTGCTGAAGGTCGGTGGTTTCTCTGGATACTTTGGCTTCCTCCACCAATCAAATCTGGCCATCATAATATATCAAATGTGCTGAAACTGTCATTAATCACCAACAATCAATCAAACATGCTTTACATTGCTTTTTAAAATTTAACACTTAGTATGATATTTCAGGTGGCCATTGAATCTCAAGAACTAGCCCACATGTATGAAGATCGTGAGATTGAAAACGGAGCTAGGATCCATGAAGACATGGTGTTTGATATGGCAGAGAATTATCTGTTTGTTATGACAGACAAAAAGGTAAATTATTCAGATCTGTATAGATAAGAATTGAACCATTGCCATATTTTTCCTGAAGTTCTTTTGCTACATCATTTGACTGGAAATGACTAAATGTGATATGGTCAACTTGTAGTAATACTTATGTTCTCCAGGAAGAGATCAGAGGCCCTTAAATATGAAATATCACATGACCATGATGACTATATAAACCATAATGTTCAGTGTTTGTTTACCATGCACCAGAAGCAGCATCATGGAATAAACTTTTATGTGTTTAGTCCTTCTCGTATACAAATACACAGAACTAAGTTAAATGTTCAGCAAAGTATTATTTTTCTGTAGGATTATATTATACAGACTTTGGCATTTCCATAAAAAATCAAATATCCACGAAAAATACAATTTTTCCTCAATCTAAGAAAAATTGGTACCAATGAAATTAGATGAGTCCACAGTAGATTTGAAATTGTCATAACTGCCAAGGATTTACACCTGATAAGTGATCTCTGCATATATACCTGCTATTGACATTTTAATGAGTGACAGACGACAAGTGAATCAATCACAGGTTATTGTCATAACACACTTCAACATGTGATATGGTCATGAGGGGGTACATTTTGTGTTGTTTTTTCACTCTAAGTCAAATAACATTATTAGTTACAAGTACTTAGAAGTACTTATAATACCTTTGTAGTAGATATACTTAACACCATTTAGGTGTTTTTTCCTTATGTTTAGTCAGCAAACCTTTTAAACAGACGTACATGACATATATATCAGCATTGGGAGTACTTTACATTGTCAGAACAAGAAATGGATGAAAATGTTTTTCTTTTTGTTGATTTTGTTGTTGTTTTTATTGTTGTTTATAAGTCCCAAACCTTCTATTGTTTGTTTGACTTTGTTGTTAGACCTTAACATTTCTACAGTAGAAAAAAATCTTTAACATTTATCAGTTATGATACGCCTGTTTACGGGACATATTATGGTATACCATTGTCCATCTGTCCGTCAGTTGTCAACATGTCGGACATTAACTCAAAAACGCTTTAACCAATATGCATGAAACTTTATTGAATTGTTTATATCTATTGACGTGAGCTCCCTTTCGTTTTTTATAAATTTCAGATTTACTGTTTCCGAGTTTTGGGGTTTTATTCATTAAAAAAGGGGGATTTTCCAGTTTTCTGACAATAACTCAAGAAAGCTTTCACCAACTTGCAAAAAATTTTGGTTAATTGTTTATATATATTGACATGAGCTCCCTTTTGATTTTTATAAATTTTAGATTTCATGTTTCCAAGTTACAGGGTTTTATTCATAAAAAAAAGGGGGATTTTCCAGTTTTCGGACAATAACTCATTGGTGTTGTTGCACAGTAGTTGAAGATTATCTTCCTTTTAATTTTCTAAATTTTGGAATGGCCTTTTGTATAATTCAAACATAATTGAAACATTCTCATAAAATATGATTTATCAAGAAAATAGGTTAGTTGACAGCCAAGTCTCCTTTATTGTCCCTATTGTGAAATTCTGATTTAATTGCATAAAATCCTTTTACAAAAAGAATAAGGTAGTTATTAATATAAAAATTAAAGTGTACCATTAAAGTATTATTTATAACCTTTCAATACTTATTGACATCAAAAAATGATTTAAATTTCATTGGATTCTGATATAGAGTCTTTGCTTTTAAAAATTTATAAAGGTTGTCGACTGAGTTAACTTGTGATAAGAGCGTTATAAAGGAAATCAGGAGGAATAAAATCCTGTCGATCAGTGGAGCAGAAAATGTCGGGAGATCTAATGATAAAAACCTTTTCTATATTGAATTTATTCTGAATCCATCTATAACAATGCCTGACATATTACAAACGATAAGACATTACTAATAATTGCTATCTTTTTTGTTTTTCACATGTTTTCTCCGGGAATCCATTGATTTTTAGTTGTAAGGTGTTGATGGATAGATTTAGTTGGACAGCTGATGTATATAGGATTTACATAGGTGTTAATGCTTAAATGTCATCAGTATCAACTGGCTTTGGATAATGATGAATCCTAAATTGAAATTAACCTACTTTTTGGGGTTATGAAAGAGAGGGAAAAAAAAATCGTCACTTTTTTTTACCCACAGGAAATACTTTTCACATTCTTAAATGAAATAATATAATATGCACAATTTATCTTTATTTTTGTTTACAAACGAAAGTGAACCAACGCCTGGTGAGTCTGTAGTGAGTTAGAGTCCCTGAAGTGGATACCTCGGGTATGCAGGGTCGTTATGATGAAACACAATAATGTAGAAAGTCTTATAACAACAACACTGGCCCTAGGCACCGAAACATGTCGATCAATAAATTTTCTGCAGCAGTCCCTCCAGTGTTGTTGTTATAAGACTTTCTACTTTATTTTTGTTTGTTTCATAACTTCTTCTAGTGTCAACAAATTTGATGTATACTTTATCACTTGTCTGATCTGCTGAAGTGGGCGGTATTATAAGTGATGTGGGTGTCCGTCAGTTCATCCTTCTGCCCAACTCTGCTCCTCAACTGTTTTGACAGAATAGTCAGAATTTTGAGAAACTTTCACTGAACCTTACTCACAGGGTGTATTTTGTACCTCCTATTTTGTTATCTCATTTCTTTATTCAAATGATTTTTTGGCTTTCTTTAGCATGACATGGACTATGTCTTTACCCTTGTTGACCAACACAAATTGTGCTGGCTTGCATTTTTTGTCCAAAATGTAAACATATATCTCTCGCTTTCCTTAGATAATCAAATGGTTGTTGTCTTACGAAACATAGACAAGGAGACCAAGGAGACGTGAAGTATTTGAATGTACTCTTCAAGTGAAGTTTTATTTTCCAATTCATCTTTTGAAGTATAGAACCAGGTGCAAAATACAGTTTTTATACAATTACCATAAATTATAGATTTCTAATTTAGATAGGTGAAACAACTAATTTTTTACTGAGAGATACTTGTTCTAGATAGTGATATTGCATAAAGGATGAATAATTAGGCTTTTGTAGCCTACACAACATTTTGATTGTATAGACATGGATGAAGAATTAGGCTTATTAATACAAGATTAATAATGGAAAGTTTTATCTCCTCACAAATTTAGAATCCATTTGAAAAATGTTATGTGAATGTTGAAAAATTATTTTTTTTAAGAAAATTAGAATCAGAAAGGACTGATTTGTATAGAAGTTTTTGAATCTTACAATGGAGATAGCTTTAAAGTTTTGTTAATGATGTATGTTTGTTGATGCCTGGTTTATTTTATAATACTTGTATCTATCGAAGTGCATGAACAAGGTCTTGTATTTTATCCATTCAGCTTAATGACCATTCATTGATTCATCCTAAATGATTTTTAAGTATTGATAAGTAACCACTTGTTACTTTCATTGTTTTGCCAACATTTTGTTTTTATTAAATTTTTAAAATTAACCATACTAATTTTGTTAGTACATTGAATTTCGAGTAGTCTTTTATACAATGTTAACTTTGTGAAGACATAAGTGTTCTGTTGACATGAATTAAGTCTGTTTTCAATTCAACCTTCATATTCAATCTTATATTAAGGTTAGAAAAAGTAAGAGTACCAATGATTTGTAAATTTGACAATGTAATAGGGAAAAGGGACATGGAGAGACATTTAATAAGCTGCTATCATGAGATAGCTCATCACTGGATTTGATTCATCAATGGATTCAGTTTAACAGGAGTATCAGGATGGGTGCCGCTAGTAGAGCAGGATTTGATGACTAATCCAGAGCACCTGAGTGGTGTACCCCTTGTTTTTGATTGGGTCCATGTTACACAAATGATGCTCTGTCTTTAAGTTTTATAGGTATTGCTTTGTGGTCTGCCCTTAAGAAAGTATGGTCCATTAACTCCTAAATTCCTCCTTTTGAATATGTCACTTAAGGATACTTGGAAATCAACTCTAGTAATATTTACATGTTATCTAATCGTACAAAATGCAATTGCAGTTTGTAGATTTTAATTTAAGCAGAACTTTTCACAGTTTAGATCATCTCTTATCACTGTTGCTGATAAAATGCCAGTATTTCAAAAATAAACCAGTAAACACCTGTTGGGTTGATTTGTCATTAAAATCATATGATTGAATGTAATGATTTTTCACTGTCTGGATATAGACTTTGTTCTTGCACCAGGCAGGTCATTGAACTTCTAAAAGAGCAGTTCTGAAAAAGAAACAACATTAAATAAAATCACCATTGGGCATCTCTTAATCTCAAGACTTATAGTTGATCAGACTTGGTAAAGTTTCAGACTCTATTGCATATTTTGACCTGTCCGTTTTTAGTGCAATGAATTCTTTTTTGTAATTTTCAGTGTGAATGTGTCTGTCATGTCAAGCTGTCTTGACAATATTTTGCCCTTTGGAATGTTTCTTGTATTTTTGATGGTTGAGGTGATATAAAGGTTCCAAAGGGACTGTAACTATAAATCACCATGGCCACAAGACAAACGGAACAAAGAGTCCACAGAACAAAACTCATTGTTTTCTTGGTTTAACTGTGTCTTGTGTTGCCTCCTCATTTCTCATTGATGTATGTACCTACGCCACATCTACTTGTATTCTCACAGAAAACTTAAATATGAGATAAACAGATTCCTTAAGAAACCAGGGATGAACAAGGTAGTGCTCACATATTCATATGTCTATCTACATATGTAAGTCAGAGTTGTCTTAAGTTACATGTTAATGCCTTTTTAAGATTAAGAAATTTGATAATTGATGACAGGTCTCTGATTATCTCTGTGGAATTTATTCACAATTCAAATGTTCTAGACCACTGGACATATTGTTCAGACTGCCTGTTTGTTAAAAGACTGTTTTACCTCTACTGATCATGTGACAGTCATGTGACAACCAAAGACAAACTCAATGTTCAATTTCATTTCTTTACAATGTACAAAAAATGCTGTTTCTAGATAATATTCAATCAAGTCTGCATCATTAGAAACTTCATGA